ATCTTTCCTTGTGCCTTCCTTGCTGTCAACAGGAACTTCATATAGTTTGCCTGCCAAAACACTTCCATCAGTCATTACCTCATCATCTTCATTCTCCTTATCTAACAGGAGTGCTTTAGATATTTCCTCTAATTGCCTCCTAAGGAAGACCTTCTTGGGTATCTTATCTACTACTTTCTTTGTCTTGACTCACCACACTCTTCCTTCTTTTTCTTTCTCTCCCAAATCAAATTGTTTTGATAATCTCTCTTTGGATTATCTCCCCCATTTGTTGAAAACATAGCATGAAACTTCCTTTGCTCCCTCATTACTTGAGTCCTAGTTAGGCCCATAGGCTTCCATCCTATCAAAGGAAACCTTGGATGAACCACACCTTGCCAACTAGTATGTGTAGGCACCAGTGGCTTTACCATCCTAGGTTGCATTAGGGGATAAGCCTGTGGAAATCTCATCCCTTGGCCATGAATCTATCCTGGCCTGAAAAACCTTTGACCCTGGCCAATAAATGGCCTTTGAAATGGCCTTGGAACAAATAGTGGTCTTTGAACATGACTAGGGCTAATAGATGGCCTTTGATCTCTTAACTGTCTTACTTTAACTCTGACTCCTTTTGTATACTAAAGAGAAGGGTACACAGGTTGCCACCTGAATAAGAATGGACCATTCGCCTCACTATATGATCTATTGACAGGCCCAAAAATTCCAGGGTCCTGCCCATCAAATGACAACTGGTCTCCATTAAAAATGTAAAGGTCACTTCCCCCTAAGGTATTGAACCTTAAGCCATGATCCTTCATATTCTCTTTCAACTTGTCAGCTAAAATTGCTTGCAATTTTTCCTTTTCAGTCCCACATCTTATGCACACAAACTTGTCTTCATCAATCACTTTCTTTTCCTTCTCCTGCTCCTCCTTGTGAATCTTTTCCAAATCAAAAAGCAGAACAGTTGGGTTTGGTGTCTTTCTTTTAATGCTAGTTGACACCATATGGATTGGTGCCATTTTTGGAAAGGGATTGTTGTCGACTGCCATAAGTCCCTTTTCCTTTTCTGCATATGTCAACAGTCTCTTCTGTATTAAGTCTTGCACACAATTTTTGAAAGTTACACAATTGTTGGTAGAATGTCTAAAAGTATTATGCCATTTACAATACTTTTTTCCTACTCTGTCTTTTTCTTTTGAAATTATGTGTCTAGGGGACAATGTTAAAAACTTATTAGCTAATAACTCATCAAAAATGGCATTAGCTTTTGACAAATCAAAAGAATACTGTCTAAATGTGGGGTTTGTGTTTCTTTTGGCTAGCTGACTTGTTGACATGTTCACTGGTGTAACAACCCTCATACTGTTTACTGATTAATGACTGATTGATTACCGATAATCACCGATTACTATTAAACGGAACTGATAATGACTGATAACTGACTGAGAATTGAACTGATTAAGGTACTGAACTGACTGCCCGAAATTGAAACTGAATTGAGTGAATATATCTGTTTGAATTGCATTTTATCTGTTGACTGTTTGTTTGATCTGTTCGTGTTTTATGTTTAAACTATTAATTGAAGGCCTTATCGGCGGCCGAACCGGAAATGGGTTAGTGTATTATGATCATCATATTTAATGTAGGTTGCCACCTGAATAAGAATGGACCATCCTCCTCACCATATGATCTATTGACAGGCCCAAAAATTCCAGGGTCCTACCCATCAAACAACAACTGGTCTCCATTAAAAATCTGAAGGTCACTTCCCCCTAAGGTATTGAACCTTAAGCCATGATCCTTCACATTCTCTTTCAACTTGTCAGCTAAAATTGCTTGCAATTTTTCCTTTTCAGTCCCACATCTTATGCACACAAACTTGTCTTCATCAATCACTTTCTTTTCCTTCTCCTGCTCCTCCTTGTGAATCTTTTCCAAATCAGAAAGCAGAACAATTGGGTTTGGTGTCTTTCTTTTAATACTAGCTGACACCATATGGATTGGTGCCATTTTTGGAAAGGGATTGTTGTCGACTGCCATAAGTCCCTTTTTCTTTTCTGCATATGTCAACAGTCCCTTCTGTATTAAGTCTTGCACACAATTTTTGAAAGTTACACAATTGTTGGTAGAATGTCTAAAAGTATTATGCCATTTACAATACTTTTTTCCTACTCTGTCTTTTTCTTTTGGAATTATGTGTCTAGGGGACAATGTTAAAAACTTATTAGCTAACAACTCATCAAAAATGGTATTAGCTTTTGACAAATCAAAAGAATACTGCCTAAATGTGGGGTTTGTGTTTCTTTTGGCTGGCTGACTTGCTGGCATGTTCACTGGTTTGTCCATTTTCCTCAAAATTCCACAAACCACTGGTGTTTTCCCAACTACTTGAGCCACATTAACATTAATTTCTGTTTCCACATCAACTTCTCGGAAATAAGTTCCATAAGAAGTTGCATTCCTATGTCTCTCCTCTCTAAGAATTGATTCATATCTTGTTGCCCTAGAGGACAACTTAAACAAGTCCCTAAATTCCATCCCTTCAAATTTCTTTCTTAACTCAAATTATTCTGAGCTATTCTTACAATTTCAACTTCAGGTATATACATTCGACACCTATTTTTTGCCCTCTTAAATCTTTCAATAAATTGTTCTATATCCTCATAAAAATTTTGCCTCATTTTGGATAAATCAACCAGAGTTACTTCAAGCTCAGTTCTATAAAACTGAGCATGAAACTGACTCTTCATTTCTACCCATGTATGAACTAAATTAGCAGGCAAATTAATGAACCATGTGAAAGCAATCCTAGACAGAGAATGTGGAAATAATCTCATTTTAAGTATGTCATTATTTCCTGCCTCTCCACCTTGTAAAGTAAACCTCCCTATGTGTTCAATCCTCACTATGAAATAAGGAAAACTCAGGGACCCTGTAATTCCTAGGAAAGGTTCTTCATCTACCCATTGAGCGTATGGTTTCCTAAACCTAGGCCTTTCAGGCCTTTTCACCCTTGGACCATAAAGGTCTTGAACAATTTGAATAATCTGGTCTCTTTGAAGATTTTCACCATGATTAACTGCATTTTGCCGCCCATACCCATAATTATTCTAAAAAAAATCATACTTGTCGACATGTAAAGGGGGGTGCTTGACCTCTTGGCCTTAGGCTATTACCAAATGGTTCATCATACATGTTAGGTCTGTGCATTTCAGGGTATGCCCTAATATTACCACCATTATTTATACCTTGGTGTCCATAACCCATATTATATCCAACATTTTGGTTTCCAAAACCTCGATTATAATTTTCAAAACCCATATCATTTCTTGGCCTCCTGTTAGGATTAAACTCTGTGTTAAACAAATTCCTATCTCCTACTCCTTTTTGGCCATATAATGGATTAGAAAAAATATTTGACCTAGGGTGCCCCCCAGGCCAATTTCCTTGAATTTTAACATTTGGTGTTTGAAATACCTCGTGCATTCTCTCATTTGCAGTGGGGTCCCTATAAAAGGACATTGGTTTACCCATAGATTGGGGTGGCCCACCAGTTGGTGGCTCCATGTGTGTTTTTGAGGACACGTTTTGTGCCTTTTTTTCATTATGGCTTGCATACTCCATTGATGGAACTTTCAACACACTCCTTACTTCTCCTAGAAGGATCTGGTTCTTTTCAAGTGACTGGTTTGCTAGTGCATCCCTTATCTGAGCTACTAAAACCCCTGTTGGAATTTTGGCATGGCCACTTGCTTGGCCTTCTGTACCCACTATTTGGCCACTCATTTGGCCTTTATGGGCCATTGCCTAGCCTCCATGCTGGGTATCACGATCATCAACAAAGACTACGTCCTGGTCCACCTATTCTTCTTCAAACTCAACTAGCCTCTTTTCAGCATGCTTGTCACCTGTTTCTTTGCCTTCATCATTTCCTAACCAAATTATGCAAGATGGTCCCACTGAGCGCGCCAAAAATTGTTAGTAAAAATTATGCTAGTACTAGATCGACAACAACTAAGCAATAATTCAAACTACATAACTTTATATAGAAACAATCAAGCAACTGTGGTTCTGGTTCAAATACCTCAAAAGACTAAGGATTTCTCTAGATCAAATAGTGACAGCAAGGTAAACAAGAAGGAATACAAACTTTATTGATCAACAGATGGTAACAAGGTAGATTAAATAAACAGAAGTAATTTCATACTAAAATCCACCCATGCTTACCCAACAAGTATAGATTACAATGATAAATACTACTTCTAAATTATAATCTCAACTACTCCTAAGTCTAAAAGCTAAGTTGTTATATTGTTGTTGATGTCCTCTCGTTTATGCCAATCTCTAGCCTTTATACTTCTTCTTTCATATGCCCCCATGATCTCCCCAACCTGCAACTGCTACTGTGTAATTGCTGCAATTGCTCATTGACTTCTAGGCTTTTTAATTACATTAACCCTCTCTTTCTGTTTATCGATTTGCCTCTTTTTCAGGTTATTTCATGTCCACAAACTCTTTTGACTTTCTCTCGGTAGAGAAAAGCTCCTACTTTGTCTCATGCTTCTTCTTGAAAGGTTGCCCACTAACTCCATGATCACTGCCAGTAATTGCTCCATCATTTATAGTCAACCCATATGCAAAGACCCACTTTCTCCTGTTAGTCATGGTCCTCTGATGCTGCATATCCACTCTAGACTTGGCCACGTGTCCTCCATTAACTGGACCACCTGTCGACAGAACCTAGCAAAAATAGGTGCAAATAGTATTATAGGATTTATTAGTGCATTCAAAAAGTCAATAAGACTTATAAGTATTTAAATTCACTAAATAAAAATAGTTATTAATTAACCCCAGATGTTTTGGACACGTATCGACTTGGGTCCGCAATTGCTGGGTGCGACGTCCTTGCCACACGTGATTGTGAGGAGTTCGAAGCCCACTGGTTGACACTCCTCCAACAACTTAACAAAAAGCCTGTCGTACCAGTGGGTTTGATGCCCCCATTGGTTGACATTAGCATGGAGGAAACAAGTGACACGTGGTTGTCAATCAGTGGTTGGCTAGAAAATCAAACCAAGGGATCTGTGATTTACGTAGGACTCGGAAGTGAGTTGACTCTGAGTCAAGAAACACTTACTGAGTTAGCTCTCGGGCTAGAGATATCTGGTTTGCCCTTCTTTTGGGCCCTTAGAAATCCGTCTGGCTTGAATGAGTCAGACTCAGTGGAGTTGCCAGACGGGTTTCAGGATCGAACCAAAGGTCGTGGAGTTGTGTGGACGACTTGGGTGCCTCAACTTAGGATATTGGCTCATGACTCAGTGGGTGGTTTCTTGACTCACTGTGGTTGGAGTTCAATTATTGAGGGCCTTCAATTTGGACATCCACTTATTATGTTGCCCTTCATGGTAGAGCAAGGGTTGAATGCTAGGATTTTTGAGAAAAACAAGGTGGGTATAGAAATACCGAGAGATGATCGAAACGGGTTATTATACCGAAACTCAGTAGCTGAGTCACTAAAGTTGGTAATAACTGACGATGAGGGAAAGGTTTATAGGGATAAAGCTAGAGAGATGAGAGCTACATTTGGTGACAAGCTTCAACATGGCCAATATATAGACAAATTTATCGAGCATCTACAAAACTACAGAAGGATTAAGTTAATGGAGTTCTTAGTGACAAATATTATGTTTTAAAGTAATATGCATTTTATTTGAAGCAAAGGCTTATTTTCATTATCTTGTAAAACATATGCAAACAAATTATTGGTGACTTTGAAAATAAAATGCCATCATGTTGTTTTCTAATCCTCCACATTTAACCTGTGACACACAGATCTTATAATTGTAGATTTCTAACAACTCCATTGGTTGAACTAATTATGATTGTCCATGGTGGCATCTAGAAGAAAGAATAATGATACATAACTCTAATTCAAGAGTTCTAAATAGAGCTCTAATGAGTTGACAAGTCAAAAGAAGATAAAAAGCACCAATAGAAAGTAACAATAATTACACATGGGTTAGTGCCACATAATTAGAGATCCTTTAGAGCTCTTATTTTAGAGCTACTAAACATTTTTTCTAGAACAAATATCCCAACTAGAATTCAAATAGAGTCTTCCATTGTTATATAGATTTAAATATCAAATTATTCATCTAAATGCAAAATATCAAAAATAAAATGACACATTGTCTTTTTATTTATTTATTTATTGGTCATCCAAATACAACAAAAATAAATTACAATTACTTCAGCCCTTTTACAAGTTCTAATACCACAATTTAAAACCATGTTTTCCACTTAAAACTCAACCTTCATGAACGCATCTACTGTTTTTGGAGAGATACTCAACAAAATTGTGCATGTACTGATCATGCAGGACCTTGTCACCAAGTAGGGCACTGATTTCTCTTGCTTTCTTCCTATAAATTAATCCCTCGTTATTGTCTACCATAACCAATCTGATTGAGTCGGCCACTGAGTTCCTTGTGAAGGACCCATCTTCTTCATCTCTCGATATCTCAATCCCAACCTTATTCTCATGGAGTACCCTTGCATTTAAACCTTGGTCTGCTGTGAACGGAAACATAATAAGTGGTTTTCCAAACTGGAGTTGTCACACCCCAAACTCGCCCCTAAAAGTTTGGGAATGACCTATGTAGATACGGGCACATAACCTGATATACATAATATATGGGGCCTGAACGGAAGCATTTAATATTACAAAATAACATAGAATAACATCCATTGAGCTAAAACTAACATGCCAGGATCACATACGTGAGAGCCATTTATCTATATATATGTCCATACATATAAATGAGCGTATATCCGAACATTGGTAAAGAAGGGGGTATATACATACATTTTAACCTTGAGTAAATAATTAAAGTGCAAGCCAAAATCTTAACAAAACTTCACATAAATGCATGGGCTTGGTTTGGGAGTCTGGGCATACTGAGGTTGACAATTGAAGGGTGAGCATCAAGGGTTAAGACGGACTTCCAAAGTAATTACCTACAGAACAGACATAACACAAAGTGAGCGAAGCTCAGTGAATAATAGTACATAAATGATTCAATGCTCAACTTGAAGTATAATACATATCAATGCATACATAAATAAAGAGGGCATAAGGTTAATTGATTCTACACTAGTTTCATAACGGCCTTAGGCCTAGTCTTGAAACATAATGACTTAAAACATAATATCTTGAAACATAATGGCTTTAAGCCCTTGAACAGAGTGGCAATAGGCCCTTGAACATATTGGCATTAAGCCCTTGAATGTGTTGGCATTGAGCCCTTGAACTTGTGTGTATGAGCTCAAGAGGTGGCTCGCACGGATTCTAGAGGTGACTCGCATTGCAGCACTTAGTTCCGTACAACACTTTGTTTCATACTAACAGATCTTACAGATCATACAAAATGGACATAGGCCTCATAACTTTCACAGAACAACTTTCAGCCTCATAACTTTCACATATGTATGGACTCAAGAGGTGGCTCGTACGGATTCTAGAGGTAACTCGCACTGCAGCACTTAGTTCCGTACAACACGTTGCTCCATACCAAAAATACAGAATGGCCTCTGGCCTAATAGATCATATAGAATGGCCATAGGCCCAGATTGGCTTTAAGCCTAGTTCATATATGCATGGATTCGAGAGGTGTCTCACATGGACTCTAGAGGTGGCTCACAATGTAGCACTTAGTTCCAAATAGCACTTTGTTCCATACCAGTAATTAATAGGTCTTACAGACCAAACCATACATATCATGTCAAACCATAAACGGAAACAAATTCATACATATGCATCATACTTGAATCATAAATAGAAATCAGAATTCATACTTGATTATACTTGGCACTTCGCTAGCGCTAACAAATCAATATAAAGCATTCTTGTTAGTTCCATAAAGGAATCCCCCGATATTGAGAACTTATAACATACATGAACTTGTAACATACCTAAACTTGTGCATACTTGAACTTGTAACATATGTAAACTTGTAACATACGTAAACTTGTAACATCCTTGAACCACAGTATTATTACCCCCGGGTAAGGGCCGTGTGCTACGGATGTCATGAGTACTTTACATATATGGATAACTGTTCATTAAGTCAAAACGTAACATATCAGAACATAGAGCATTTCTTGTTATATCATGTCATTACAGTACACATAACAAAGACATAACAGTTTACATCATAACGTGAGTCACATGACAAGGTCATTGATATTTAATTCTGTCTTCAGGTTGAGTCATTCGTAAGTCAATCTGTTGTTTATCATAATGCTTAGCAGGTATTAACGTATAAAACAATCCGTGGTCTTAACTAATTATTCATTAAGAAATGGCGTAGTTCACTTGATCTATTAATAGCATATAGAAGCATACACCTTTGTTTGATCGTTCATATATATTACCAGAGTTGACTTGTACTTAACAGAGTACTAATGGTAGCCGTTACATCATTCACATGAGTTAACATAGTTAACTTAAGTTTAGTAGGACATTCCTGATAATTATTAATGAGAGATAAGCACATTTACAGATTGAATGATTTCAGAGATACGTGAATACCATGGTTCCATAGTGCTTATACGTTCCCTTTGTTCATCATGAATCACTATAGCTATCTTGCAAATAACAGGATGTTAGTCTTCTTTGTCAACAGTAATACTGCTCAATAATGCCTCTAGATTTTCTAATCAATACATTGTTAACTTAATTACTTGCAAGGAACAGCATATTAACGATAAAAATCATTAACGATAATTGAACGTATGACTACCATACTACTACTCACAGTGGTAGGTCTCTGATAGCGGTGGAACAATGTCCTCATCTTGACCTACAAACATAATGCACATAACAGATTATGAGAATAAAACCAATCTCTTTTTATTCCTTACTCAATAGCTATGGTGGTTCTAGACTCATTAGTCCTCCATAGGTTATCATAAAATAGGAGGAATCGATAGGAGAAAGCTTCAGGCGAAGAAACGGTACAAACTTGATAAACAGAAAGTGAATAGTCATCACTAATTTGGACATAACTATTTCTGTATTTAGAATTTTGGAGTGAGACCACTTCCGTTGGAAACTAGACTTCCGGGGATTGATTTTAGGCTCAAGAATCACTCAAAACGGAGTCCGGATGCAAAAGATATGCTTGTTCAAAGTTACAAGGTAAAAGCTGAAACAGAGTCGGCCGCTCGTGCGCCCACTTTGGCCGCTCGTGCGGCCCAATTTCGCTCGAGCGGAAGAACCCGGCCGCTCGAGCGCCCAAAAGCAGAATCAAAACCTCTTTTTCTTCTTCATGGCTGCTCGTGTGGTGCCCATGGCCGCTCGTGCGGTCTGGGCAAAAAAACCAGTCCGAAATTCACACAAAACCCAACTTCGATCAATCTAACACAAACTAAAGCTCAAAATCACATGGAAACTTAATCATAAATCAACTTAAGTTCTTAATCACTTTGAATTCATAATTATAATCAATCATAATCCAATTATATGGAATTTCTAACTTTCTCACACACACACACACACATATCTATAACCATTTGGTCATGAAATGAATTCAAGCTTAATAATAGAAGAAGTAGAATGCAATTCTCAGTAGATGATTCAAGTTAAATTTAAACAATCAATTAACCCCAAGCACACACACACAAGGCCACAATTACAAACCCTAATTGACATGAATCAAAAGGAAATTCTTACCCCACTCCATGACTAAGGTTACACAAGATGAATTAAATTTATCTTGAGCTTGATTCTCTTAATTTCCTCTCAATCTCCCTTCTACTTGATGAATTTCTCCTCTTCCCTTCAACCCTCTTCTTCTCTATGTTTTTCTCTCCAGGAGATATTTTTAGGCAAGGTTCTTGACTTAAACATGTAAGGAACATAAATATATATGTATATCTAAAGGCAAATAAGGACAAAATTCAATCGTTTAATCATCCCAAATTGAAATTTCATAGAAAATCTCATTATAGCTTAAAAATCATGCAGATTCCAAATGTCAAATCAATTCCGGATTATCAAGCCTCTAAGGCTCTCAATTTCTGATTCAAACATTCTACTTGTAACAGATCTTTTTCCTTATTGAACAGATACACATTCATAAACATAGGATTCACTTACTTAACTTAATTTAACATGGAATTTCACAATCAGCATTTAAATGCGCAAGACAAGGGACTGAAAATATATC